GGTTTAGTCCTTCTCTGGTTGCAGCATAAGTCAGTGAATGGCATTCTRGCATGTAATTCCTTTGAACAGGAAAAATAACATCATTTGCTAAGCTTTCCGTTTTAAGTTAGAAAAAAAACACCACAAAAAAATAAGAAGAAAAAATACTGGGTATGGCAACATAACGCTTACTATGGCCTTCTTTCAAGTCATCAGCTCAGAGCTATATTTATCTCTCAACTTCAATGCAGAAACACTTAGAAAAACTACTGAGTGGCCTAAAAGAGACACTCAAGTAGCACAGGCCACACACTTAGATACTGAAAAAAGACCTTTTTTTTTTTTTTTTTTTTTTTTTTGTTAGATGCTTTCAGCTAACTCAAATCTGCCACCTACAACCTGTAAACAATCCAGTCAGTGGGCAGACATGGCTTGGACTCACATCAACCTTAGCTGGAAATGATTTTGAAAGAAACTGTCATATGATCTGCTTATTTTTTAGCCATCCACTTTCACCTACTTTCTTCAAAACGTCAGGCTTTGGCCACTGCCCAAAGAAAAGCATGGAAAAAACAAGCATCTGCCCCAGGACAGCAAGCCTGTTGCATTCCATGTAGGTAGAGCACCTGGCGGAAAAACTATCCTGGAACAACCCAGGGTGACGATGACTCTGCATTAGGTTGATCTACCATCTCAGACATGACCTGCACTGTGTCCCTTTGAGGTAGGGTCTTCTGCATCACTCTGATGCAATGGGACAATTCAGCCCCACATCCCATTCCTAGTGCTGCTGGTGGGAGTTCAAGTCCTACCACCTTGGGGAAGGGAYTGATGGCGCTGCTGAGGTTCATAGCACATAAACAGCTCATCCCTGCTCCAAAGAGCACCAGGAAAAATCTCATTTGGGAGCACAAGGGAAACAGGATCAGGCCCCAAGTGTCTCGAAAATAGAAAATTACCCTAACAATTGGCACTAATTGAGCCACGTGTGCAAGAGTCATCCGAAAGATCAAGTTATAGACATGCCCTGAGATACCCCTTCACCCAAGGGCTGCAGAGTGCAGGGGTGAGTTTGCCAGGACACTGGTCAGAGAGCAGCTGCTTGGGAAAGAAGGCTGCATTGCAGGGGCAGAAAAACAAAAACAAAAAAAAATGAAGAGTCATGCTGAATGAAACACGACACTGACTGTTTATGCTTCATCTGAAAAGCCTCACGTATCATCAGGAATAGGAAGGTCTGAAGTCCTATTTCTGTTTATTCGCCTTGACGATACCCTGAAAGCGTGTGATCACGTTACATGTCCCAGGAGGTGATTCCAATCTCAACAAAAATCCCCTCTGCAGATCTGCTTGTATGAACTGGCCTCCTGGASAGATCAGCTGACCAGAGTCTGAGACACCTCTAGAACTGGCACCCATCAAACAAGCAAAAACCTGTAAACAGGGGCCTGGAAACATTCACTTTCTCAGGGCGGGAAAGATGCCATGGTGGGTCCTCTCATTTCTTGGGGGAAAAAAAAAAAAAGAAAAAAGAAAAAGTAGCATTCTGTAAATGAAGCCATCCAGCTACCATGGTTGGTGTCCTCAGCCCACAAGGTTGAGGTAGTCAAGAATAAGATATCAGTTCCCTACATGATATTGAACGTGCTCTTCAAATTGCCAACATCAAAGGGTTTCCTTACTTCAGATCCCTCTGTTTCTAGGATCAGAAGCAGTCACAACACCTAGCTTTGACAGACAATGAGTCAAGCACTGAAAGACAATGCGTGTTACAGATTCACAGATTCACAGAATATTTAAGGTTGGAAGGGACCTCTACAGATCATCTAGTCCAACCTTCCYGCTCAAGCAGGCACACCTACAGCATGTGGCACAGGGTGGCATCCAGGYGGGTTTTGAAGACCTCCAGAGTAGGAGACTCCACAACCTCCCTGGGCAGCCTGTTCCACTGCTCTGTCACCCTAACAGTAAAGAAGTTGCTCCTCACCTGGAGACGGAAYTTCTTRTGYTYCAGCTTGTGGCCATTACCCCTCGTCCTATCGCTGGCCACCAGTGAGAACAGCTTRTCCCCTTCCTCCCTGCATTCTCCCTTCCTGAACTTATATATATTAATCAGATCCCCTCTGAGCCGTCTCTTCTCCAGAGAAAACAGGCCCAGCTCACTCAGCCTCTCTTCATACGAGAGATGTTCCATTCCCTTAATCATCCTGGTTGCCCTTCTCTGGACCCTCTCCAGAAGCTCCACGTCCCTCCTATACTGGGGTGCCCAGAACTGMACACAGTACTCCAGGTGCGGCCTCACCAGAGCTGAGGAGAGGGGCAGAATCACCTCCCTYGACCTGCTGGMAACACTCCTCCTGATGCAGGCCAGGATCCCATTGGCCTTCTTGGCCACGAGGGCACACTGCTCACTCATGGTTAACTTAGTGTCAACCAGGACTCCCAGGTCCCTCTCCGTGGAGGTGCTTTCCAGCAGGTCGACCCCTAATCTGTACTGATGCCTGGGGTTATTCCTCCCCAGGTGCAGGACCCTGCACTTGTCCTTATTGAACCTCATGAGGTTCCTCTCTGCCCAACTCTCTTACAGCTCATGGAAACGGAAAGCATCGCACAGGATCTGGCCACGCTTTCATCTGCAGTTCCCACCAGCCCTCGCGCTGCAGGATGGCAAGGCCAGCACTCCTTCTGTTTGCATTCCCTGAGGAGCACTCGCCTAGGGCTTATTAGGCTTGCTCAGATCGATGAAGCTGTTACTAATACACACACAGAGCTGTCTGCTTCGCTGGTCCCGGTGCTCCAATGCTAGTTTATGCAGGAGGACACCAAGCATAAGATGCACTGCAATGGCTGAGCTCAGTCCATTTGCACTCATGAGACTACCAGAACTCTGCAAAACCAGGACCAAACTACTCAGGAGAGGGGAAAYGGGTTCAAGACCCTGCCAGAAAGCCCCAGGCTTGCAGCATTAAAGCTAATGGAGTTAAGAGAGAGCTAACTTGACCCCAGGGTTTGGCGTGCAGCTTGCCATCGCCAACAAAGAAGGGGGGACCTGGCCTTTCCTTAGCRCTAAGGAGCCAGTGACACTGGAGAGAAGCACTGTGACCGCTCACCCTTACTCATCACTTCAGTTTAATGGCCAGATCTGAAAAGCATTTCAGCTGTAAAATCTGCAAATCTGAAGTGCACAGGGGAAGGGAAAAAAAAGTAAATAAATAACAGACTGATACTTATCTACAGCAAGGGGAAATGGGAGCAGCTCAGACTCCCTGATTCCTTTTTTTCAAGCAAGTGGAGAAGAGACCCAGCTGCACTGCTGCTCTCATCTGCAGAAGCAACAACAGTGCAGAGTGGGGCTGCAGAGATGCTAACTGGGTACACAGGCAAAGCAAGCAAAGGTAAACTGTAAAACATCTTGGAGCAGAAAGAGGCAAAAACACACAGAGCAGAAAGTAAAGCATGAAAAGCCAGAATAGGAAAGAAAGAGGAAAGAAGGTAAGATTAAAAAAAAAAAAAAAAAAAAAAAAAAAAAAAAAAAAAAAAAAAAAAAGGAAATGCATATATGAAGAAAAACCCCAGAGACAAAACTCAAACATGAAGTGGAACAGAAAAGGGGAAGGGGAGGGAAACAGGAGGAAGCAAAGAAAAAGCTAAACAGGCAATAAAGCTTACACACTTCCACACATACATGTTTGTATACAAATATATATGAAAGCATACACATATATAAAAATTTACACTGTGTTATGCTCCAGCCAACCCCTCTGAATGAAAGCAAATAGAGGCCTGTGACTCTTCAGAACAACACTGGCACTTTTTACCTGTTTGGGGAAGCTTTTGGTACCCTTCTTATATCAACTGAACTCCCCTGTTCCCTACTGCTAAGTGCAAGAGCAGTGCAGAAAACACCTAAGCACAGATAGCCTCAGAGCCTCCGGAGGAAAATCAGCACAATATCTATGTTATTAGCATTAAATATAGCATCACCATGAGCTTCATATACCAAATGTGACTGTGGTAGACTTTACATAAAAATAGAATATAAAAGCCATTCTCTGTACCAGAGAGCCAATGACCTAAGGTAAAGATATGATACAGATAAAAAGTAAAAGCAAACAAAGGCAGACTGACTGCAGTAGCATAAGAGATGCCAAAAGATTTAGTATTATCTCACTGTACATGGCAATCCTGGATGGGCACCTCTAAAAATATTGCTTCAGAAGAGAAGCTGACAAGGACTAAACCACAACAGAGAGCAGGCAGATACCCACCCATTCCCTGTTCTCAGAATTCCGCTTAAGCTACTAATGTAGATGTGAAGATCCATCATTCCTCAAACAGCAAGTACTAAGGGTAGCAACCCACAAAAGAATCACTGTACCCATCATGATCTTAACTGCACAATCCCTTTTATGTATGCTAGTTTGTTTAAAATATAGTCTCATGTTTTTGAGGTTCCCAAACTGAAGAGGACCAAGTCATACACAAACTACCTTAGAATCTATGAATCTATCTACAAGGTAATAATTAAAGATCTTTAATTATAAATCTTACATTTAATACTTAATACACCAGCTAGGTAAAATGACTTGCCTTGACCAGTTAATATGACAGGGTGTTAAAATCCAATCCTTTCTGTGCAGGAAATTTCCAGTAATTAACTATAGTTTCAAAGAGGTGAAAGAGGAGAGGGAGTGTAACATTAAGGATGTTTGGGCTCATGTCTTAATCCTGCTATTTCCTAATTTTCATATGTTTGAAAAGGCACAAATCACCCCAGGTACCTGGAATTCCATCTGAGTATATTTTCCTCAATGATCAGTTTAAAYACTGTGCTTATCGCCAGATTAACTTTCATATAGCGTATTAAGTGTTGAATTACCATCTGGTGTGTGTTATTTGTCCTCTTTGCTTCAATCCAGCGATGGAGGGYCTTGTTTTGGTTGTATGTGCCCCAACTGTCTTTAAACATTATATATAAATATTGCTCTGTACTTAGAAAAATAAGAGTCAAGAGAACATACCTCATACTTGCAGCAGAATATGATGAGTTTGGCAGTCCTTAGCTCCTAGTTTAGTACAGTCACACAGTGTGAAACAGGATCATCTGAAAGCACAGGTTTGTTTTGTTGCATGAAGTTTCTGTGGTCTTCAGCAGAAAGCTTCAAGCAGCCTTTTTAATACCTGAGGTCCATAAAGGCAGCACCTTGAAGAGAGAATGAAGACCTCAAACTTTATCTCTAACAGATAGAGAGGATGAGATTCCTGCAGAGCAGCTTTCTGTGCTGGCTGGAGCTTCCTTTGCACTACAATCTCCATACTCAGGTGTGACCTGCTGTTCTCAAGCCAAGACATGATGTGCGTCAGCACAACCAACATCAGGACTCTGCCCAGAAAGACGGAGCAACATCTCTTGATCAGCCAGAGATGAGAGAAATGATGGCGCTGCTGTGGAAAAGCTTATTGCCAGAATAAATCCAAAGGTGCTTCCAACGCACAAACTCATCTGGCCAACTGTGGATCCATGCCTTTGGTGAAGGGGGTCACCAGGAGAGCTGGAATACATCTTCAAAGAGCTATTTTTCACCTGTGATCCCATTACGTCCAAGTGCTGGGTTCTCTGGTAGCAGACATGTACAAAAAGGTTAAATAAAGCTAAGGCTCCTTTCCACACTGGAAGAACTGGCCTCTGCATTGCCTGGCCAGCTCACCTGCTGCAAGGTCTGTGAGGGCTCTAAGCAAGGAGATCGCAAGGACAACGCAATCTCGTCACTGCTCCCGGGGTAGTAACCCTGTACACCACTTCAAGCTCCCTATTCTGCACCCACGTGCTCCGTGGTAGCAGGGGGAGGTTGGGAAGCTCTCTGGGCCGACCTGCTCTCCTTGCCAAGCCTCCAATAAAACTGCACCCGCATGAGCTCAGCCTTAAYCCATGCCAGCTACTAATGGGTATAGAAATTCTATAATATCTTCAAATGAAATATTAATGTTTTTAGCAGTATTTCATGGGTTTACAGACTTTGACATGCCTCAGGGAGGTCTAAAATAGACGTAGTCCAGACTCCAAGACTTCCAAGGGAGTGTGGTGCAACAGAGAGCACAGTCTTGGGAGCCAGTGATCCCACACACCAATCCCATTCCCCATAGTATCTCAGTATCTTTGCAAGCCTTAGCAGCCCTGCTGGTGTCAAAGTGCAGCAACAGCATTTTAATCTGCTCACCATCCAGATCTTCCATCTAAGCAAGACAAGATACAAGTGTTTGTTTCTGGGAACATTGGCTCTCCTAGTATTACAAGGAAAAGGAATGCATTAGCAAGASCAACTACAAGCTCTCCAAGCCAGAGTGGATCAGCACAAGTGACTGTAAGCTGTTTAACTCCTCTGCCTTATTTTCTCCTCCCACACCACACTGCTCCATGAGGCAACATTAGCCGTTAACTAACAAAGTGCTGTACTTTTATGTCCTATTTATTAGAATTCCACATTGAAAGAACTTGATCCAAGAAAAAAAGTCACTAAAACYGACTGAGATCATGCAAAATAAGATCTCTGATAGTCTCTTATGCTATCAAGATTTATAAYGAAGGCAGGGACACTGAGTACCCAAGCAGGACAGCCTACAACACTTGGCAACATAATATTATGTCTTATGCTAATGAATAACATTTGGGGTTCTGAGCAGGCCATGACTTGTCTGAAAGACGGTTATACACAAGTTACCACTTAGAAACCTCTACATTATACTTGATAAACTTATCTTTAAAAATAAAATGACTTTTTTTGAAAAGTTTCCTTCATTTCCCTATCTCCTCCCTCTTCTCTCCCAATGAGGAATGGTACTATATCTCAGTAGAGAAGAATTTTAAAAAATTAAAAAGCTTTATCTTTCACACTAACTAGGAGATGGAGTTTTATTTCCCATTCTTCGACATTTGCAAGACTTGATATTTTCATGGTGAATATTTTTGTCAAGCTTTTTTTTCTGACTGTGTCCGTTCCAGGCATCAGGCTCCTCCTCAAAGCCAGTGGCCATTGAAAATCAGCTTTGTCTTTGGGACAGAGCTCTAGCAGAAGCACCAGACACCATTTCTGTCAGTACTTACAGTAAAACTGGGAGACGTCACTGGTGTTGGAACTCTTATTGTCCCAAGCTGTGAACTACACACAAGAGATAGCCTCTGCCCTGACTTGTTTGTCGGCTATAGAGGCAAAAAGAGTGGAAGGACAGAGTTACGAAATGGCTTGCCTAGAGCAGAYTCTCCTAGATCCTATCCCACAGCCCATCACCATACAAGATATACTTCCAACAGCCAGGCCTGGCACATCTCCAAATTAACCACTCCTGATATGGAAAATATTTTCAAGACAAACTCCTCATAGCTTGAGCTTTGTGCGCTGCAAAGTAAGAGTAACATCACTACTTGTTTCATCAGGGTGCTGGAAGCTTCATTCACTCAAATGTGCAATGCAGTCTGAACTCTACCGTGCAAGTACAATACACAAGGGTGATCCTTCACATGGAATGGAGAACTTTTGACAGAAACTTCCATAGAATGTTGAGGTTGGAAGGGACCTCTAAGGATCACCTAGCSCAACCCCTCTGCTCAAGCAGGAACACCTAGAATATGTGGCAGATTTTGAAGATCTCCAAAGAATGAGACTCCACAACCTCCCTGCGCAGCCTGTTTCAGGGCTCTGTCACTCTTCTAGTAAAAAAGTTCTTCCTCACATGGAGATGGAACTTCCTATGTTTTAATTTGTTCCTATTACCCCTTGTTCTGTCACTGGCCACCACTGAGAAGAGTTTGGCCCCTTCCTCCCTACATTCTCCTCTCAGATACTTACACATATTAATCAGATCTCCTCTCGTTCTTCTCTTTTCTAGGCTAGACAGGCCCAGCTTGCTTAGTCTTTCTTCRTATGACAGATGCTCCAGTCCCTTAATCATCTTTGTTGCTCTACACTGGATCCTCTCTAGAAGTACTGGATCCTCTCCAGAAGCTCCACGYCCCTCTTGTTCTGGGGAGCCCAGAAGCCAGTGACAACATTACTTACGGAGGGCAGTAAAGGCAGGCAGTGCATTACAGGCCCTGATTAAAAGAACAGAGCAATTAAACCAATTTAACATATTCTCTTACATATTAATATCCAAATCTGACTCATGCCAGCAGACATTTTGCGGTTCCACTGATCTGAGATATCAATTGTATCTTCAACAGAGTGGTTTTGTGTAACAGATTAGTTTTCACCCACGCTAACAGGTCTATGTTTAAAAAAGTACCTTTTTCTCTAATGAAGACAATTTCCCATTAGTCAGGTCATACAATGTAGGTGTCTACTGAAGAGACACCTTCTTCATTCTGGTCCTTCTTCCACACAGATCCAAGCTGAAGACTTTTCCTCTCAGCTCACGAGTCTACRTTTCCCTCTGATGGAAACCAGCACACAGAAGTACCATGGTCTCACCTAACACCAGATCAACACCAAATCAGGACAAAATCAAGACATGCATCAGGCTCTGCAAAAAACTCTTCAGCCCCTCTGTGAGGCACAGCAATACATATTTCTCTTTCCATTATGGAATTTAGAATCTTAATCACATTTATTTTCTAACCTTGTACATTCAGAAAATGTGCRTCCTTCCACTGTGTCCCACTACACGACTTAAAGCAAAAATTTCTAAATTGATGAAGAATTTTAATTCCTTTTGTTTTGTTTTTGCTTTTTTTTTCCTCCCATTTTGAGCTCACCTTTTTAACTTTTTCATCAAGAAACACAAAAAGAGAGAGTTGAGAGTGAAAAGAAACCTTCACATCAGCAGTCCAACCTCACACGTGAACTGGGACCACTGTCCACACTCGGGCAGCTCACCTGTACCTCTGACATGTTTTAAGATAGTCCCTGAGATTAGAGATTCAAAGCCTCTCCAGAGAGAAACATTTCCACAACAGCTTGTATCTAAGAAATAGGTTTTTTACAAAACATGATACTGTTTTAAATCCAGAACAAAATTACGTTAGCTAGCAACACTGTTATTTACATTTGTCTTGAAACATACTTGCTTCAAGTGGGAAAAAAAAAAAAAAAAAAAGATTTTTAGCTTTCAGGCACATTTAGCCTTGCAAACAAGACTGATTATTTTTCATCTATATTACCAAGCATTTCAAACATTTGTTCTTTTCGTGCTAGTGTTCTTATATGATCTCACTCATTAACATTTAAGAAAAGTAAGCTTTTGCTCCTAAAGCCATCCAACAGGAACAAGAGGCCAGATGTGACAGACCTGAAATAAACGTGCAATGCATATAGCAAACAGTCTCCTCTGAAAACCACCGAGCCATGTCTCAAGCTGTCTGCCACAGACACTACACTCCTGGCTTTTATATGAGGCTGGAAATGTCATTATTTCCAAAAGGATGTGCAGTACAAAAGGATCTTTTCTTAAAGATAAGTTATTTTCCTCGTACGTATGTCTATTTAAAACATCAGCTGAAACAYGGGCAGGGGACTGACATATGACCTCTACAGTCTGTTGTAGTTGGTCTATATTCATCTACAATAACCTTTATTAATACAGACCTTTAACATCATCAGAGAGGGATCTGTGCCAGAGCTCTTTCCATACACAGCAGCCAAAAGGTCCCAGGGTGCAGCATGGAGCAGCTCTAGCCACTGCAAAACTGTGCAGTGCAATGCATTTTATACCACAAGGGATTTTGTTCAGCTGTTATTTTTAATTATTTATTTCTGAAGAGATGGCTGCAAACCTAGGCCTCAAAATATAGAGCATAAAGTCTGTCAGGAGTCRTATCTCTTGTTAACTGTCACTAAGCTGTTTCCGAATTGCTGAGTTACCTGATCCCAGCTGGGTTTATACAGGACAGCAAAAGATGCTGCCCCTGCAGCACCTCTAGAAACATCACAGGTCAAGAGTGCACGCGCTGCTTTCAAGTTTTTCCTCACAGACACAAAGGATAAAAGGGAGGCAACCAATTAAAAGCAGCAGCACAGCAAAAAATCYTCCAGGGCACAAGAACTCGGAGCAGATCTAACATGCACGGCTTCTTCCAGYACGAGAAGCAGGGACAACCCATCCACACTAAAGATTTCACTGGCATAACATACCTGCTA